ATGAAATAAAAAGGAAGTGAAAAAAGTAGTGAGAAGACAAGAGACTACGGCTAGACCCGCACAGAGGACGACGGCGCAGGACAGCACGGCACGGGCACGACGGCGCACCACGGCTGACACCGCGGACGGCAGGGGGGCGCACGGGACGGCGCAAGACGGCGGAGAAGGGGGCACGGCACGGCGCACGACGGCGAGGACCGGGCACTAGGGGGCGACGGCGCAGCACGCAACACATCTCACAGGCGCACTACTCTCACATTAGGTACGACGCTCATCACTTCTCACTACCCTATTATCTTCTCACTTCACTTTGACTACTTCTTAATCACCTCTTTACTCATTTTGTACTACTTCTCATCACATCTCACTGACTTCTCACTTCATTTTTTACTACTTCTTATTCCACATATCTATCTGACTCCATACATTGGATCATCTCAGACTTATAGTGCACTATCCATTCATATTTTTATACATATCTTATTTCCACCATCAGTGTAAGAAGCAGATTTCTGCTGAGCTCAGCAGAATGTTACTACCTATACAATAATTTGTAGGTAGATCTTCAGCACAACCTATGCTGCTATACTTGTAAGGCAAGTGCATTCGATCCTATAGGGGTAGCTGTTTGGTATCAGTTTAGATAGTTATTTATCAATAAAAGGAAGATAATCCGATCTGAAGCTAGGAACTACTTGTCCAAGGAGAAACTGTCAAGTCTGAAATTTTCAGAGTTGGCTCAGGCATTGGATGGTCGGCGATGTGTCAGATGGTAAAGGAGTGTGTTGGAATGTCAGTCAAATGAGTGTCAAGTGTTTTAGAATGTTTTGGAGAAAAATAGCAGATAGATATTTCACAAATACAATCAAGTACTTACTAATATCCAGGGACTTCCATCCGACTACTGAGTAGGAAAAAGTAAGTAAAGTAATGGGTAGGAAGTACTGGATATTATATAGTGTCTATGTAGAATTTCAAAGTGCATTAGGCGAAAACAGTAGCACAAAATCAGGTCCAAATGTATGTAAAAGAGCATGAGTACTGCACCTTTTGTAGATAACATGTATTAACTCTATCTATAATATTCAATAATGTGAAAAACAAGTAAATACACACCAGTGGAAATGAATATGACTGGACAGGACATAAGAAGAACAAGTCTGATGTGAAAATGATGGGTCTGAAACTTTTGGGTCAGGGTCAGGCATTGGGATTGGGATTTCAATATCAGGAATGCATCAGACATAGCAATCATTTGGTATAGGACTGTGGTCAGATCACTGCATGCGCATGGAGTCTGTCAACATGTCGCATGACTCTATACTCAGAGTCATCGAGAATATCATGCTTGATTACAGAGGAGGTCCGATGTACTTCCAAGTTCAGGTAATGGAGTGCGTGAACTTTGAGGTTCTGCTTGGATGCCCATTTTTTATGCTCACTTTGTGTCGCACATTTGATCTCCCTAGTGGGGAGCAGGACATTTTATTGACAGACCCAAACACACACAAAGAAATGCGCATCCCAACCCTCCCTTGGGTCAGAAATTGTCAGGTAGTGGTTCATGGTGCGCCTTGTGGCAAAGCAATGCATATGCACTTACATGTTAATATCACCAAGGTTGAGGGTCAGGATTCTTAAGTATCAATGATCCACAGCACTATAGAGTGTTTGTGCTCCTCGCTTCACCCATCACACTCATTTTCTCATTCATATCTCACTAATATTTCTTCACTCGCATTGTGCAATGCACGCGACAAAAACCACATTTGTTTGCTCTCAAGGAGCAATCTCACTTCACCACATTCATTGTTGTTGTCATCATATCCTGTCCCCATTTCATTTTCATACTCTGATTTCTCTCTTCCACAGTCCACGCTATACACGCATCTAACCTCGTCCTGTACAGCTTTTTATACTGTGAACATTGCCGCATTCAATGTGTGTGCTAAGAAAGTTCGCAGTGTACTTGCATCATTCATGAACTACCGCCCAATCCCTTAATAGGACTAATTCTGGGACCTGCTCACCCTCCAAATTTTGTTCCAGGTATCTGTCTCACGCAAGTGCAAGCGGATAAGTTAAACTTTGATCCTGCAAAATGGCTTTGGCCAGAGGAAGCTAGTAAGAAGTAATGAGCAGTAATGAAAAGTGAAGTGAGCAGTTGTGAGAAGTTAAGTAAGAAGTGGGAAATAAAGATGAGAAGAAGTGAGAGAAGTGAAGTAAGAAGTATGTTGTCTGACTCTTTTCTGATACCCCAGATTTGCCTTGAACACACAGATGAGAAGTAATAAGAAATGAGAAACAAGGATGAGAAGTAGTAAGAAGTCAGAAACAAAGATGAGAAGGAGTGAGAGACATGATAATAATGATGAGAAGTGAAGTGAGAAGTAATGAGAAGTAGTCAGAAGTCAGAAACAAAAATGAGAAGAAGTGAGAGAAGTGACAATAATGATGAGAAGTGGAGTGAGAAGTGATGAGAAGTAGTGAGAAGTTAAGTCAGAAGTGGTGAGAAGTCAGAAACAAAGATGAGAAAAAGTGAGAGAAGTGATAAAAATGATGATAAGTGGAGTGAGAAGTGATGAGAAGTAGTGAGAAGTGAGAAACAAAGATGAGAATTGGTAAGAAGTAATGAGCAATCTGTCATCTGACTCTTTTCTGAATGTCCAAAGTCCGAAAATGTCCATTTGTCCCTATGTCTGTGTTGCAAGTTTTCTCTATATGTCTTCCCACTAGGGTGCCTAATAAAAAACATGAAAAAAATAATTGAAAGTTCGGCAAAAACACAAATTTTTGGATATCAAAACAATACTGGGTGCAGAGTACCATCTGACTTCTTTTCTTCATGCAACTTTCATTCTTCTTCTGTTTATGTTGCCCAGATTGTCCAAATTTCTAATAGTTAATGGCACAGGTGCAATTCTGCAGTGCAAAGGTAAAATGCTAAATAATCAGGTGAGTTCACACAATGTCCAATAGTCCGAAAACATGTCTAAAAGTGTGTCCAAAAATATGTCCAATATGCTAGTCTGATGTTGCGAACATGCCAGGGTTATGTGCAATATATCATATGTATATGTCTGAATTTTTGAGTTTCAGATGGTCTGAAATTTTCAGGTGTCGGACTATAGTTTCTTCCTAATATCTGATCTTCATTGGCTGTCGTACATGTCAAATGCGATCCGGGAGTGCATGGGTCAGTGATACTGGTAGGAGCTTTTGACAGAATGTTTGTACTTGAATTTTTGGGGCTGGTATGACAAATTTCAGATGGGTAAAACTATAGCACAAACTTTCGGATATGTGTTGGGTATATTTAGAGTGCTTTGGAGAGGTTTTTTGGGGGGTTTCAGAAGGCGACTGATAGTATTCTGACTTGTGGAGTGTGGTCCTATAGAAACAAAACTTGTAAATGCTAAAACAGTGATTGTTGCGAGAACAAAATTGTCAGTGGTATCCAAGTGGTATACTGCCTGTCTGGGTTTGTAGTCTGATACTCCTATATCAATATCTTCTATGTCTGAATTATATGATCTGAATTTTGGCGTCCTAGAGGCTTTAGCTCAATACTCGGTGTTTCGAGTGTCAATACATTAGTATTAATGGTTTCAGTGAATGTTTCCAAGTTGTCTGAAGTAAATTATAGAGGATATTTGTAAATGGGTTAGGTACAATATGTGGTTTTGTTACCCCCAAGGGCCCCAAAACATATTAATGACTTGTGATCATGCGGGATTTCCGTTATCTATGTCTAAAAAACCATATATATATAAGGTATTTTAGACCCTTGGACTCACTCACAAGCATATATTTACCTCTATGTATATCTCTATAATATAACTTATCTTGTATATTACTATTCATTCGACAGATCACTTAGGCCGCCGATAGTACCGTCTGAACGGCGTCGTATACAATGGATTACATATAAAACACATACAAATATACAAATACAAATATATTTGTAGTCAATATGGCCGCCGTTGGAACGGTCTGGACGGGGGGACGAATTGTTGTAGTTGAAAATATTTCATACGAGTTATGCAGGCATGTTATTTAATTGTACTACGGTAGGTATATATATAAATTCACTATGTATACTAAGATATATACTAAGATTACAATGATAAATACAGACAGAGAGATAATAATCATCACGTGATCGAATCACATGACCATCGCTGAAACTCAAAGTACTAAGAACATGAGGCATAAGTAAGAACATGAGTGCGTATCGTGCTATGATCGATGGCGTTCCACACAAGTGTGGTATTCGATGCTTGTAATTATAATACCTCAAAACGTCCGCCGTACAGACCGTCTGGATGGCGGACGATCTGGTATTCTGGACTGGTTAGCACGCGGATAGAGCCGTCTGAACGGCGTCGTGTTTGGGGGGTCTGTGATACTTATACACCCTCTATTACAGAATCTCTGTTGCAAGGAGGAGACGAGTTAGCGAATCATCTTAGTCGAAACAATCCGTTTCACGACTACAAAGAAACAGAAGAAGAGGTACTCATTACCGTGTTGAAGAAGCTGAAAGGAGTATTTGACTCGACTCCTGCAAACACACGGCATGAACGTGCTACCACGACATTAGTGGAGATCCGAGGCATGCAAGACAAAAATACGCGGCTACTAAGAGTCCTGCACCACGAAAAACTGTGCATGTTACTGGCGTCACGTTTACTATACCTCGGTACCCACTTTCGTCGTCGTCCCAAATTTTCCGTGACGTGGCTGGCGAAAGGACTGGATGTTTGCATGGGCGTAAGTTTTTTTGATCATATGCGAGGTCGACTCACATTATGTTATGTCAGATATATTTGATGTGGATAGAGCAACGTACGATCACGTTGAGAATGCTCGGGTCTCGCTCGGCGTTTCCAAGCTATAAACAAGTGTCTGCCTTGATTGATAAGGCAGACGACGGCAACACAGACGCCCAGGCAGAGATCGCCAAGCTGCGTAAGATCATGGAGGAGTCAGACTACGGGGATGACGATAGCGAACTTACCTTGTGGGCTGAAGTCCTCGACAGTGTCGACAAACACGCTCTCGACGCATTCGACACAATTAGGGACAGCATCGGTCAGATGACCCCCACCTACGTCATGCGTTTGAGTTCGTATCGCCAGGGAATCATCAATTCTATGCGAAATAAGTGGTCCATTAACGCAAACAAAGATTACAGCAAGAACGAGAACGAAATCCTACAACACCTCGACCGAGTCGTTGCTCGTGTTGCTCTCTTCCTGACGCCAAAGGAAGGCGAAACACACGCTCCTGAACCTCTCCTAGGAGGGTTTATGATGGACTACGCTTGGTCCACATTTAACAAACTTAAGCTAGGGTTGGCTGAGGTGAGCATATTGATTGTTTCGTATAATGTTCTAACGGCAGACTTACGGTGTAAAATTACTATGCAGATATGTCGTTGGTTTGAGGTATTCCTCGACTATTGGAGGATATTGCATCCCAAGGGTCACGCCATGGACGATTGGTCGGTCGTGATGCTGTCCAATATTGCGAAGGATCCACGGTTCCCGTCTCAGAATGACGTCGCTGGCAGAGATGTAAGTATGGCGCCCTGAAATGAAATGTGAAACACGCTCAAAGACGCTAACACACCTCTAGATTGTCGATAACATTTGGGCACACAGAGGAACGTTGGTGCTCCGGCTCAACAACCTCATGATGAAAGAGAAGAAAGCACTCACACCTCGACCTAAGGATAAGAAGACGTTAGACGCTGCATTTGAGAAACTCCCTGAGAACGAGCGCATCGCTAGCGAGGCCCTTACGAAGATATTGCTATCGCACCGGTCGAAGACTGGACCCAGGAGCCGTGATTTTGCCCTTGAGCCTAAATCCATCGCTGGAATGATGGCTTTACACACTACGACCTGGGACTGGCTAAGCCCGACGATCAAGAACACTCAAAGGGATATCGACCCTTGCATGAAGGCGATTGCCGTTGAGCGGACCTACCTAGTTCAATATCGAGCAAAACTCTTGAAAGATAAGTACGTCGGCGCGCTTCGCAGGTTATTCGAATTATCACTCGAACCTCGCATGAAGAAACTTCAAACGCTCGACCCAGCAACCGGTAAGCTACGGTCTGGGAAGGTATGGGTATGGTGGGACAATTTAAACCTCACCTCGGCTCAAGGCGATCCGTCTGTCGTCTTAAAGGCCCTCGAGGACAAGACCATCACAAGTCATAAGCAAACCCAGGCTCGCCTCACACTCGAGCAAGCTGATCGCGAGGAGATCAACAAACTTATCGGTTACTTTTGTAATCTTCCATGTGTTCGTGCAACGCGTGGAACAACCTCGCTCGTCTCAGCTGACGTCATGGGGCCATTTCGACAAGTCATCCAGGTGAGTCAGCACGCCGTGGAGACGGTACCAACGGCGTCTCATTGGATGATTTCCCGTATACGCACGCGCTCCTGACCGTTCTATCGGCGTCGTTTTGTGTACTGACTTCGGTTTATTAGGGTATTGAAATTAATACTGCCAGAAAGCGTTATCGTACGCTCGAAGCAGACCCAGAAGCTGTGTTCGACCTCGCTGAAAGACCCTACAGTCTTGGTCTTGGCCTACCTGATAGCTATGCTGATCCTCACACCATAGTAAGTGTTTTGACATTAATTAATTTACTTCAATTTTATTTACGTACGTCTAATTTTCCTAAGGGTTATGGTTCTGAATACAGCGACGAGGATGACGCAGACAAGGACGAAAACCCTCAGGTTGCTAAGTCTGTCACTCAGAAAGGTAAAGGCAAAGGTAAAGGTAAAGACAAAGGCAAAGGCAAAGGCAAACAACGTGCCGTTCAAGTCGTCGTCGAATCCGAGCCTTCAGCTCGCTCGACACCATCGGTCACATTCACTGGTCCAACCGTCATCGAGGTCATCGATTCCAATGTTCCTACGCCAGCTGAAATGCCTGCTGCCTCCTCACCGTCTGTCTCTGCACATACGCCAACAGTTGAGGCTCCTCTTCCTCCTGCCAGTACTATGCCCGTCTCTACGCCTGTCGTTGCACCATCAGTACCCTTGCGTCAAACCACTGCAACGGTCGTCCCAAAACCTCGCCCTGTTCCTCGCAAACATGTCGAAATTCCCGTGCAATCGGTCGATGAACATAACGTCGAGGTGTCTCCGGGCGTTACGACTCCCACAACCTCTCGTCCTGCGCCTGTACCTGGAAACGTATGCCCTCTTCCATCGACCGACCCAGGTCAGTCTTGATTTATTTCCTCAGTCGTAGTCCTCTCCTCATTGTCTAATTGTTATATTGCTAGATACAAATACAACACCTCGACCAACAAACTCTGCACTCGTAGAGACTTGTGAACAAGAGGATCCAGATGGTGACAAGGAGATGACAGACGCGGTGGACACCGTTCTATCGGCGTCTGATACGCTTGGTATGTATTCAATTTCATATTTCAGTGGTCATTGGTATCTAACGATCTCGTTCATACATTATAGGTAATTTACTTCAAAGTACACTCCCGTCAATCACTCCGTCCCCGCAGGACATCATAGATGGCTTCAGCGCCGATGACATCGGTTGGTTCAACCCCGACGACAACGACAACGAAGAAGACGACGACGACGACGAACCTATAGAACAATACGAACCAGAGTACGAACCGGACGACATTCAAAGCGAGGATCATAGCGAGCCAGATGATCCCGATGATGCTTGTGAGCCCGCCGTCCAGACGGTATCCACCGCGTCCATTTGTTCATTTTCATATTCTTTTGTAGCGTATATGCCCACACAACCTTTGACTCAACAACTCCCACCTCGTCGCACTGGTTCGTCTCATTTTAATTGTATTCTATCGTATATCAGCTAACCTAACCCGTAAAGAACGACGCGTCGCTTCGTCTTCAGCCAAGCGTTCCCGTGCTGCCACAGGTGCGTTTCTATTTCCGTTCGCATCGCGTATATCAATCGCTGACTTCGTTCAAAATATTTATCATTAATCATCATATCAAAATAATATTATAGGTGCTTCGTCCTCATCCTCGACCCAAGGCCGTGGCAGTAAACAGAAGAAGAAATCCAAGGTGGCCGTCCAAGGATCTTCTGAGGATGAGGCTGACAATACAATTGTTCCAATGTAAATGTAATGTAGCTTTGCTGCCCTTGCCTTTCGCCTATGCATCATCTCTTTCTTTTGCTCTTGCAGTTGTAGTTGTATTTGTGCTCTCTCTTCTGTATGTCCCTGCGTACGTCTTGCTGGTGTTGTTCGTTGTTTCAATCTTTTGCCGTTGCAGTAGTCTCTCTGTTGAGCATATGTTTGATGTCTGCCAATTCTACCCATGATTTTGCAAGTCCATTAGAGTTAAGGCTGGGTTATGGTATATCTAAAACAGCCATATTGCGCAAATATGCACATGTCAGATTTGCGCAAAATTGACCCCCCCATATTGCGCAAATATGCACATGTCAGATTTGCGCAAAATTGACCCCCCCATATTGCGCAAATATGCACATGTCAGATTTGCGCAAAATTGACCCCCCCATATTGCGCAAATATGCACATGTCAGATTTGCGCAAAATTGACCCCCCCATATTGCGCAAATATGCACATGTCAGATTTGCGCAAAATTGACCCCTCATATTGCGCAAATATACAAATGTCAGATTTGCGCAAAATTGACCCCTCATATTGCGCAAATATACAAATGTCAGATTTGCGTGAAATGGACCCTTCATATTGCGCAAATATACAAATGTCAGATTTGCGTGAAATGGACCCTTTATATTGCGCAAATATACAAATGTCAGATTTGCGTGAAATGGACCCCCCATATTGCGCAAAAATACAAATGTCAGATTTGCGCACAATTGACCCCTCATATTGCGCAAATATACAAATGTCAGATTTGCGTGACATGGACCCTTCATATTGCGCAAATATGCAAATGTCAGATTTGCGTGAAATGGACCCCCCCATATTGCGCAAATATGCACATGTCAGATTTGCGCAAAATTGACCCCCCATATTGGGCAAATATGCAAATGTCAGATTTGCGTGAAATGGACCCCCCCATATTGCGCAAATATGCACATGTCAGATTTGCGTGAAATGGACCCCCCCATATTGCGCAAATATGCACATGTCAGATTTGCGTGAAATGGACCCCTCATATTGCGCAAATATGCACATGTCAGATTTGCGTGAAATCAACCCCTATGTTGCACAAATATACAAATGTCAGATTTGCGTGACATGGACCCTTCATATTGCGCAAATATGCAAATGTCAGATTTGCGTGAAATGGACCCCCCATATTGCGCAAATATGCAAATGTCAGATTTGTGCAAACTTGACCCCTCATATTGCGCAAATATGCAAGTGTCAGATTTGCGCAAAATCGACCCCTCATATTGCGCAAATATGCAAATGTCAGATTTGCGTGAAATCAACCCCTATGTTGCACAAATATACAAATGTCAGACTTTTTGAAATCAACCTCTCATATTTTGCAATTTGGAATTAGAATGGAGTCACTGGAATCAGTTCAGACATGGTGTGATATATGAGTGTATTATTATGTAAGCTTGCTATTGTGATATGAGTCAAACTGGTATCCTACAGTGAGGTCCTTGAGATTTGGTTAGAATTAAAACTAGTGCAAGTCAGGAGGTGTGCATAAGGAAAATCCCACACATAGAGCTTGATATTACTAAGCTTGTAAACCTTGATATACAGCCATCCAAAGTTTCAAAAACACAAGTTCTGAGTTTCTCGATAGTGGCCTAAGAGTCTGTTCGGACATCATTTTCGCCAACCAACTTTGAAATTCCAACGTAGCCCATACAAGACCAAATAGTCCGAGACCAAAAATAATGTCACGCTGATCATGCTGATACAATATGATAGTGGTCGCTGAGCCTATTGTACAACACAATGCATCCTAACGACCTCAATGCCAAATTTGATCTACTAGACCCACTAGACAAAGATGATGTCGACATCGAAGACAGTGCGGATGAAGATTCCAATTGTGCTGATGCGGTAGACTCCGACCGACTGGACATAAATGAGCTGCACTGGATAGACAAGACGTTCCATGGTGCTGCTCGTGTAGCAAATGACTATTGCTGATGCTGCTGGGCAGGTACTCCAAGGTCACTCGCAAACTCACTACAACAAGCAACCCCTATTATACTTCAGCCTTGTCTGTAATGGCATGGGTCACGAACTCCTCGCACGACATCCAGACCACATACGATGCGAACTTGGCATGCAGCATCATGTATTCTATTGTACTATTGAAATATACTTCACGATTCAGGGTGCAGAAATTCAAAACATGTCACACTTGAGGAGCAGCTTGCCATCTTCTTGTATGCATCTGTCACAGGACTCTCTGTTCGCCATCTTGGTGAATGCTTTCATGCTCCAAT